GCGGTATGTGGGATCTTCCCGGACCGGGGCACGAACCCGCGTCCCCTGCATCAGCAGGCAGACTCTCAACCACTGCGCCACCAGGGAAGCCCCTGAACATCTTTTAATGTTCTTATTAGCCATCTGTGTACCTTCTTTGGGGAGATGTCTACTTAAATCCTCTGCCCATTTCTTAATTGGGTTGTGTGTCTGTTTGTTGTTGAGCTGTATGAGTCCTTCATATATTTTGGATACCAGACCCGTATCAGATATATGATTTGCAAATATTTTCTCCCATTCTGTGGGTTGTCTTTTCACTCTCTAAAGAGATGCTATGAATAGTGTCCTTTAACGCATGGAAGTTTTAAATTTTGCTAAAGTCATTTATTTTTTTCTTTTATTGCTTGTGCTTTTGGTGTCATATCTAAGAAACCAAAGTCATAGAGATTTACATCCATGATTTCAACTAAGAATTTTAGTTTTAGCTCTTATATTTAGGTTTTTAATCCATTTGGAGTTAATTTTGTATTGGTGTGAGGTAAGGGTCAAACTTCACTCCTTTAAAAATGGGTCTCCAGTATCCCAGAACCACCGTCAAAGAGACTGTCCTTTCCTCATTGGATAGATGTGGCACCCAACTATTGAGACTTGTTTTGGCCCAACCCATGGTCTGTCCTGGGGAACGTTCCACGTGCACTTGAGAAGGATGTGTTCTCTGTGGTTGGTGACACATGTCTAATGACAGATGTCTGCAGATCTAGCTGCGTCGTGGTTTGTTCAAGTCCTCTGTCTCCTTAGGATCTTTTGTCTGGTTTTTCTACCCTTTTTTTGTTCTTATGTATTTATCTTTGGCTGCATTGGGTCTTCATTGCTGCCTGCGGGCTTTCTCTAGTTGCAGCGAACAGGAGCTACTCTTCATTGCAGTGGCTTCTCTTTGTTGTGGGGCACGGGCTCTAAGCGCATGGGCTTCAGTAGTTGTGGCACTCAGGCTCAGTAGCTGTGGCTTGTGGGCTCTAGAGCGCAGGCTCAGTAGTTGTGATGCATGGGCTTAGTTGCTCCGTGGCATGTGGGATCTTCCCAGACCAGGGCTCAAACCCGTGTCCCCTGCCTTGGCAGGTGAACTCTTAACCACTGTGCCACCAGGGAAATACCTTTCTACCCATTTTGAAAGTGAGGTATTGAATTCTCCAGGTATTACTGTAGAAATGTCTATTTCATCCTTTAATTCTGTCAGTTTTTGCTTCATATAGTTTTAGGACTCTGTTGTTAGTATATAAATGTTTATGATTGTTAATCATCTTTATAAATTGCCTCTTATCAATACATAACAGCCTTCTTCGTCTTAACTTGTCTATTTTGTCTGATACAAGTGTGGCCAACCCAGCTCTAGGTCACTGTTTACATGGAATATCTTTTTCCATTCTTTCACTTTCAGTGTATTGTCGTCTTTGGATCTAGTACAGTTGGATAGATTTTTGTCCATTCCTCCAATCTCTACCTTTTAATTGGGGAGTTTAATCCATTTACATTTAAAGTAATTACTTATAAGGAAGGACTTGCTTCTGCTGATTTTTTGTTTCTCAATTCCTCCATTATTGCCTTCTGTAGAGTTTCATTTTTTCCTAGTTATTATTGAGTCCCTTCTCTTTTCCTTTTCTGGTATTTTTTAGTTGTTTTCTTAAGGGCTACCCTGGGATTATGATTAATTCCATCTTAAATTTGTAACAATCTAGTTTGAATTAACACCAACTCAGCTTCAATAGTGAACAGAGACTCTGCTCTTGCGCGGTCCACCCCCTTTATGTTGTAACTGTTACAAATTACACCCTCTACGTTGTGTGCCCAGAAATACAGATTTATGATTATTGCTTTATGCCTTTGTCTTTTAACTCATATAAGGGAAAAAATGAGTTACAAATCAAAAATATAATACTACTCGCTTTCACATTTACCTGTGTAGTTAACTTTACCAGTGTCTGTGTGGCTTGAGTTACTGCCCAGGGTCCTTTCACTTCCGTCTGAAGAGCCCTCTCCAGCATTTCTTGTAGGGCAGGTCTATTAGCTAAAAACTCCCTCAGCTTTTGTTTTTATGGGAATGCTGTGATTTCTCTTTTGAAGCATAATTTTGCCAGACCAGAATTCTGGGTCGACAGTTTTTCCTTTGCAGACTTTAAACACGTCATCCCACTGGCCCCCATGGTTTCTGATGAGAAATCGGCAGTTACCCTCACTGAGCACCCTTGGGCACCAAGAGTCCTTTCTCTCCTGCTGCTTCCAAGCCTCCCCCTGTCTGTGGGCTTCAACAGTTTGATCATAATGAGCCCTGGTGTGAATCTCTTTGACTTTATACTACTTGGATGTACAGATTCATGTCTTTCATCAAATCTGGGAAGTTTTCAGCCTTATTTTTTCAGGTATTCTTTTTGCCCAACCCCTCTTCTCTTTCTGGGGCTCCCATTATGCAAATATTGGTACATTAGATGGTATCCCACAGGTCTCATGGGCTCTGCTCATTTTTCTTCGCTTGTTCTCTTTCTGCTCCTCAGACTGAGTAACTTCAACTCACCTGTCTTCAAGTCTGCTGATTCTTCCTTCTGCCTGCTCAGATCTGCTGCTGAACCCTCTAGTGCATTTTTCATTTCAGTTATTGTACTCTTCAGCTCCAGAATTTCTATCTGTTTCCTTTGTATTATTTCTATCTCTATGGACAGTCTCTATTTGGTGAGACATCATTCTTCTGATTCTCCTCATTTCCATGGATTCCTTTAGTCTTTTGTGCGTATTTAAACAGCTAATTGAAAGTCTTTGTCTAGTAAATCAAACATCAGGGCTTCTTCAGGGACAGTTTCTATTACTTGTTTTGTTTTTTTTTCCTGTGACTGGATCACACTTTCTTGTTTCTTTGCATGCCTCACAATTTTTTGTTGAAAACTAGACATTCTGGGTATTGTAATGTGGTACCTCTGGAAGTCAGATTCCTCCCCATCCCCGGAGTTTGTTGCTGCTGCTTGTTGTTGATTGTAGTAGTTTGTTAAGTGACTTTTCTAAGCTATTCCATAAACGCTGTATTCTTTGTTGTGTGTGGTCACTGAAGTCTGTTCCCTTAGCTCAGCTGTCAGATGGTGACTTGACAGACGTTCCCTTAAACCCAAAGAACCAAAGAGGAAACAAATGCTCTCAGCCTCTGCAGACCGGCCCTGTGTTGGGGCACTCCTCCAACATCTGAGAAGGTCACTTACAGCTCTGCCTTAGCCATCACTTCCTGCTTGCACGGAGTCTAAAGATCAGCCTGAAGTGAGCAATTAGTGTCTTCTCCCGTCACTTCTGAGCCTGCATCCAGCACTGGGCATGTGTGTGCCTCCTAGATCCCCCAGTGTGTGTGGGTCCTTCCCAAGCCCTAATTCTTCCACGTCTCCTTCCCAAACCTCTGAGCTTCTCAGAGAGGAGGGCAGAGGGTAGGTGCTGCGTGTTCAGGCCACGCTCCTTCCCTGTGCTACTCAAACCTCTGAACCACACGTAGTGCTGTGACTTTATGTCGATAGTGGGTGGGACTGGGGGGCATTTCTGTTCTTCTTCACACTCTTTTGCATTTAAATGAAGTAGCCATTTGAAGTTCTTATGGTGAAAGACACAGGCATACATACATACACAAAAGTAGGCTGCACCAGGGCAAGACCACATCTTTAAGAAAGAAATGCACTTGAGGGGCCAGGGCAGTGTCCAGCCAGCAGGAAAGGCCAGTCAACTCCAAAGGTCCACTGGGTCCCCTGGGCTCTGGGAGGGGCTGCAGGAACGCTGGGCCCATCGGGCAGCCTGTGCTCGGGCCCACACTCTCAGGATGGCTCATGGAGCACTACTGGAGGCCGAGTGGCCACTGTGACCCCCAGTGATGGGGTGGGCATTGTGAGTTGGGGCAGCACAGACATTGCTGGCACCTACCTGCGTGGGGAATCTCTGAACCCTGATTCCACTGCAGGATGGGTGTCAGTGCTGTGAAGGGACACCTCGGGGGCCCCTGTGACAGCCTGGCCCAGGACCCAGGGCCCACAGAACGCTGGCCAGCACCCGCCTTGCTGCTGCCTGTGCTGTAGCTGCCAGACAGCTGAGGGCATCTAGGCCGGTTCTCAGCACAGACTCGAATTCCCCAACAGGGAGACGGACGCGAAGCAGGGCTCCACTCCAACAGCGTGGGCCCAGGCCAGGGGTTCTGCCGGTCTACATGGAGGTCCACGTGGCACTGCGTGTGGGGGGCCACCCGGACTCACCTGGATCAGGCCTGCCGCAGGGTTCCGCCTCTTCTCAAAGTGCTTCTGACGATGCTGTTCTTGAACTTTCAGGGCAAAGCCAGACCCCAAGATGCCCTGCAAATCACTGGGGTCAGACGGTGCCCCAGGGACGACAGCCCCACACAGTTCCTCAGGGTCAGACCATGTCCGGGGGACCGCAGCCCCCCCACCCGTGCCTGCACACTTCTAGCTCCACCTTCCCGCCTCCTCAGCCCCCAGTGCCAGGAGACAGGCTGGGGGGAAAGACTTGGATTTGGGGTAATGGGAACTTCAGGCTTACAGGAGCCTGGCGGGGCCCACTCTGAACACATCTCAGCCCAGAGATTAATCCTCCTCCCCAATTTGTCCACACTGGAGTGAGTGGAGAGGTGTGGTCCGGGGTCCCAGAGAAGGGCCAACAGGAGAGCAGCAGCGCCAGCCCCGCCCCTCACGGCTGCGGGTAGAGGGTTAACAGGGCCCTTGCCTCTTCTGAAGGAGACCTGACGGAGCTGTGTCACCATACAGCACCGCTCCTGGTCACAAGGACCCAACTAGCCAATCCCACAAGGCTGGGAGGCGCTGACGGTGACCCACAGACACGGGTCAGAAGGTACAGCCTGGGGCGGCACGTTGTGGAGGCTGCCACATCCACTCCTGGGGGCTGTGGGCCTGCTGGGAGCCCTGCCCCTGCCCCACATGGCCCCGAGGGCAGCTGTGGTCACCAGGGGAGCCCAGACCCCGTCCCCAGCAAAGGCAGGAAGGGGCAGGACTCACAGCAGGAAGAGCGAAGAAGGAGACGCCGATGAGGGTGAAGGTTGCCGCCAGGAGCCTCCCGTTCCAGGTCTGGGGGTACTTGTCCCCGTAGCCAATGGTTGTCAGGGTGATCTGCGGACAGCAGGCCCCGTCGCTCAGCCAGGCCGGACAGTGGCCGCCTGGAGGCCCGCGACCCGAGCCAGACCCTCCTCCTGAGGCCTCAGGGCAGCTGGACAGAACCCCCGCCGTGCCGCCTTCCCAGGGCCCGAGAGGCCAGGGTCACTGCTGGCTGCCCTTCCCCCCTCAACGATCACATCCACTCTCCGAACCTCTGCTCCTTCCCTGTGGGCTGGGAGTGGGGGTCAGGCTCTGCTCTCACTTCACACCCAGCCAGGGGCCAAGAGGCTAGGAGAGAGCCAGGGGCCTGAGAGGTGACAGTGCCGAGGGACCTTCCAGGGACGCGGAGAGGGTCGTGTGGGCCCTTCGGAGGGTGGCTTGTAAGCTGAGGCCAGGAGAGCGGGAGGGGCCGGAGGTGGGGCTGGAGGAGGCGACAGGAGGGGCGAGACTGGAGAAGGAAAAGGCCCCTCCCCAGGGCGTGGCAGGCAGGGCCACGGGTTTAGAATTGCTCTGCAGTGGGGAGCTGGCAAGGAGGAAGTGGGGCCCGGATGGGCCTTCCCAGGAGCCCAAATGAAAGGGGCCGTTTTCAGGTAGCTCCCACAAAACCTGCCAAAGTGGAGGCCCAGGCCTGGTGTGCAGGACCACCAAGGCCACACACACAGGCAGGTTCGGAGGCTCAGGACAGACCACGTGGCCGGCTGCGCTGGGAGGTGGGCCCAGGCGGGCCCTGAGGGGCGAGGTCTTAGCCAAACAGCGGGAGGGGCGAGGTGCGAGCAGGAGAGGGAACTGGGGGCATCTGCGGCCCTGGCCAGGCGGCGGACAGGAGCAGAGTTTGCTCCTCGGGGGACTCGGACAGCAGGGTCAACTGGCCCCCGCGCCAGAGGCACGGACATCTCTCACCGTCCACCCACCGTCCACCCTGGGAATCCATCCCCCGGACTCTGGGGCCATGCAGAGAGTCCACCCAAAGCCCACTGTGCAGTCTGAGGAAAGTCTGCGAAACGGGGCTGAATAGTCTTGGCTTCGCCAGCAGGGACTTCTGTGCTGGTCACCTGCGAAATCACAGCCAAGGCACTCGGGCCCAGGAGGTTCTGGGGGGAGCCAGCGGGCTGGGCGCAGGCGACGGGGAGCCGGCTGGAGCGAGAAGGACACTCGCTTCTCACCAGAAGCCTCCCGGTGATTGGGCTCCTCTATTCGACGGCTCTCAACAGAGACTAAACGCATTTTAAAGACGTAAAATACTTAAAATCGCGCCCTCCCCCCGCAAGACTCGGCAGCGCGACAGGAAAGGCTGTGAAAGGACACAAGCCGGGGCGAGGGCAGCGAACCGCCAAGGGGGGCGACGCGGCCCGACTCAGGGCCAGGAGGTGGGGAGACACCCACGGCATCTCGGGGCTCGAGGAGAGGCCCCCAGACCTGGCACTGATGCGGGCACAGGGCGCGCAGGGCAGGATGGCGAGTCTGTGCCAGGGCGCCCGCACCCGCCCCAGGACCGCACACCCATGTCCTCTCCACACAGGCGAACACTGGAGCAGCGAGAGGGGAGACGCTTCCCCTCCTGCCCACCCACCAGCAGCCGGGCCTGTACCCCCCATGCCTGGCCCTACTCTTGGGGACCCCCGAGCTGGTCAGAAAGCCTCCCACGGGGCAAAGACTTCCTAAAAATTCCGTTATCCCCGGACAGAGAGAAGAATAAAGTGTATCCATAAAACAAAGAGTCTTGGAAACGAGACTAAAATCACAGAGTCAGGTGGAAGACACCTCCCAGGATGTAGGCAAAGGGATGAGGAATCTGGACAGGACACATTCCACGGCCCGGCGGTCTCACCAGCGGCCTCGGAGCCCCGGGAAGAAGGGAAGGAGGAAGCGGTAGACTTTTGAAGCCGCAAAGGGCACCAGCCTCCTGGAAGGAAGCCCCCCCTCCACAGGGCCCACGCTCCAGAAGAGCGGCAGGGAGGGAGGGGCCTGGCCGCCAGCAGGAGCGTGGAATTGGGGCACCTTCAGACACGCACGTCTCACAAAAACTTCTTCCCTCAGAAGACTGTGACCTCCAGACCGAGGGCAGACTGGGGGTGGTGCTGGAGACGCGGCACTCGGGGCCCGGCACTCGGGGCCCAGCCCTCGGGGCCCAGCCCTCAGGGGTCAGCGTTCACGGCCGGCGCTCGGGGGGCTGGCTTCAGTGCGCTGCAGTGGGGGGACTCCCCCGACGCCAGTGAGGCCCCTCCGAGGACCCCAGGCCCACGGAGCAGAAGAAAGGGGACTCCGGCAGGACGGTTTCCGAGAACGACAGGGAGGGGGAGGGAGCTGACCGCACCCTAGCGCAGCACAAAGCCAGCCTCTGGAGTCGAGGTCACAGGGGAGGGGGCTCCCCGAGGGTCAGCGGTTACAGCTCAGCGCTCACTGCCGCTCAGCGCTCACTGCCGAGGGCCTGGGTTCAATCCCTGGTCGGGGGCTAAGATCCCGAGAGCCGCGAGGCGCGGCCTGAAGTAAAGTAAAACTAAAGCTCACAGAGGAAGCCCCTGGAGGCAGGGAATGTACAGATGGGTCCCCCGTCTCCTGGAGGGGGGGGGCGACAGAAGGGGGGGATGGGAGCGGGGCACGTTTTCACTGTAACACTCAGGCACTATTTGGCGTGTTTAAGGTTTTGATTCAATTCTTACAGATGGGGAGGCCCCCCCGCAGGGCCTGCGCAGGGCAGGTCGAGAGAGCGGCCAGGCCCGGGCTGTCCGCTCAGAGGCCGGACGCACAGCGGCTGTGGGCTCCGATGCGCGGCTCCCGGTGTCCGGGCCTCAACTCCCCTCTCCTGCCGAGCCCGGCCAGGCTCCCGCCTCCCACGTGGTCGCTAGAGGGACACAGACTCCGGGCCTCGTGGCAATTAACACAAGAACTACAAGTAAATTGCTCTCCGGCTTAAAGGCCGGGAGAAAGCAGGCACCCCCCTTGCCAGCGACTGGATTTGCAGCATCTGCCCCAGGTCACGTGGTCCTCGTTTTCAGAACTGGGTCTGGGGTCCCAGGAGACAATGGGCTCAAACCTCCCACGGGACCCTCCACCGACCCCCGGCCCAGTGCCCCCGGGCTGAGTGTCCAGTACCCCCAGGAAGAGCTCACAAAGGAGGGCACTCTGGCCCTCCTGCCTGGGGACGTCGTGGAAACGGGGAGGAGCCAGGCCTAGGTCCGTTCAGCCCGCGGGGCCCAGCCTGGTCTCCAGAGGGCACACTCCGAGAACGCGGGGCATCGCCTCTCAGCGCGGGAGGGCCCTGCAGAGGGCGGCCCGGGAAGGCTTTTCTCAGAAGAGGCCACTTGCACCCGGTGACAGGAGAGAGGCCCTCGAGGGGCTCAGGAGGTGGGTGGCCGTGAGCATGGGCTGAAAAGGCACCAGCTCCGGACCCACCCTGGGCGGGGGCAGCCTGGGAAGTTGAGCTGGGAGAGCCAGGGCGTCCATTTCCCCTTTTTCACACTCTCCTGCCCATCAACAGGACCGCAGGACCCCCCTCCCCCCATCACAGAGGTCACACAGGTGGTCAGTGAGGAAGGAGGGAAGGTGACTGGCCATGGCTAGGCACAGGCTCCCTGAGGCCAGGCCCCTCTCCACCCCACACAGACCGGCGCATCCCCTACCACCACCCCGCCTGGGTCGCCACATCCACGTGGCATCACCGTCAGTAGTGGCCAGCAAGAGGCCCCAGAGAGACGTCTCTGGCCCGGTCAGCCAGGGAGAGCTGTGCATCTCCTGTCCAGGCCCAGGGGTCAGGGGCACACCCCGGAGTGGGGAGCAGGGGAGGGCAGACAACGCGCAGGAGGGACCCCGAGGAAGGCCACACCCGGTGAGCGTGTCCTCAGTGAAGGGCAATGGCCCCAGCGGCTGGGCACTCACCAGGCCCCACCAGAGCGCGTCCGCGTAGGTATCAAAGTGATCGTTCTCCCCCTTCTCCGCCAAGTACACCAGAAACGAGGCCAGGATGAGGCAGAGGAAGCCGATGTACCAGGCAGTGACCAGCTCCTGAAAGAGGCACATCACAGCCGCTGGGCCAGCGTCCAGCCCGACTCTCCCCCGGGAGCACGAGGCCCCGCCTGCCAGGAGGTTTGCTGGGCGCCGCATCCCCCGGGCTTCAGCGGGTGGGCACCCCTCCCGAGAGCCGGCCGCAGAGCCCCAGCAGCCCCGATCCCGGGGCAGGCAGGAGGGGGAGCGTGTTTTCCAGTTCCAGCCCCGGGTGGTCCCACACCTACGCACCTCACCCCTGGAGGACGGTGGGTATGGACGGCTCAGCGCCGCATCCACCCAGGAAGGGAGTGTCCCCAGGCGGCCGTCAGCCCGTCAGGCTGGAGAAGCTTGGGCTGCTGGGACCCTACCCCAACTTGCCTGAGCCTGGGGGAGACACCCCGACTGAGTGCCCTCCCTGGGGGTCCAGCATCTCAGCACCCTGGGGACCACCACCCTCTCTGTCCTGCCAGCCAAGCCCCCGCCTCCGGGCTCAGACAGGAAGGGTGGTGGGGAAGGGACTCTGGGGCCAACAAGCCCACCCACAAGAGGACGGCCTCCTGCTCAGACAGGAAGGGTGGTGGGGAAGGGACTCTGGGGCCAATAAGCCCACCCACAAGAGGACAGCCTCCTGGCGGAGCCTGCCAGGGCGGGGTCTGGGCGGGCAGGGCCCCTGGCAACACAGGGACGGGATCTGGACGGGCCATGGGGCTGCAGCCCCCTCGCGGCTCCCACGGCCAGCGGCCACCACGAGCCTCAGCCTAAACGGGCAGGAGCCCGGGTGCTGGGGGGCAGTGGGTGCTGGGGGGCAGCGGGTGCTGGGGAGCAGTGGGTGCTGGGGGGCAGTGGGTGCTGGAGGGCAGTGGGTGCTGATCCGGCACGGCCACCCAACCAAGGAGCGAGCCGGCTCCGGGCCCAGAGGGACCGGACGGCAGACACGCTGGAGAGAGGAGGAAGACGGCCAAGTCATGGGGAGACGCCCAGAGGAAACGAGGGGCTGGGTCCCGCCTGCTCACCTTGCTGTGCGCGTAGACCACGGAGCCCAGCAGCTTCCAGGTGCCGCCGCGCCGGTCCATCCGGATCATGCGCAGGATCTGCAGGAAGCGCAGGCTGCGCAGCGCCGACGTGGCGAAGACGTTGCCCTGGGAGCCGGCGGCCAGCACGGCGATGGACGCGATGAGCACCATGACGTCTGCGGGGACAGCGGAGGAGCTCGGGCCGGCCCCCTGCCGCGCAAGGGCAGCCCCCACCAGGGCCCCGGGAGGACGGACAGACGGAAGCACACAAAGTGCTGGCATGGGCCTGGCTCCACTGTCCGCCCAGCCCAGCCCTGCCCTGGGCACGGCCGCCCGACACCTCATAACCACGGGCTCTGACGCCAAGAGGGCAGGTGACGAGAAACTTCCAGAAGGAGCCGATCCTGCAGCCCTGCCTGCCCCCCCCTGCAGCGGGCCTCACCGATCACACAGAAGGGCTTCCGTGCAAACTTGAGCCGCCCCCTCCAGCCGCGGTACCGGCAGCAGCAGCCCGCGGCCCAGATCCGCACGAAGTACTCCACGCCGAACACCACGATGGTCACGATTTCCTGCAGGGGAAGCCACGGCTGAGCCACTGCCGGCTCCGCTGTGGGGGGGAGGGGAGAGTGCTGTGCGGCTGGTGTGGGAGTGGGGACCCCGTCCTGTGCAGCTGGTGTGCGAGTGGCGACCCCGTCCTGTGTAGCTAGTGTGGGAGTGGGGACCCCGTCCTGTGCAGCTGGTGTGCGAGTGGGGACCCCGTCCTGTTTAGCTGGTGTGCGAGTGGGGACCCCGTCCTGTGCAGCTGGTGTGCGAGTGGGGACCCAGAGGGCAGAGCCGATGGAGGGTCTCAGGTAACTGCCAAGGGGGCGGGGCTCCCATGCCCGGGGGCAGGCCCCGGACACAGCGCAGGGTGGACAGGGGCGGAGGGCTCCCAGGAGGTGCATCAGCTTCCCTGGGGCCCCATATGCCTCCATCACCAACGGCAACACAGAAATTACCTGTGGTTGCCATGGCGCCTGCTGTGAGCTTCCCAACCCCCAGCCCACGCCCACATCTGCCAGGGAACACCCCACACTATGGGGTGGAGGGGGCCCCCGGGGCCCTCAGGCTCTAGTGAGAACAGAAGACAGGAAAGGGGGTGGGGACGGGGGGGCGCTATCAGGCACTGTGACGACACAGGGAGGGGCCAGCCTAGGCTGGAGGGTAACAGGGTGCCGGGGGTGTTCGGGGGAGGGACGGGTGGGGGCTGAGGATGCGGCAGCATCACCAACGTGGGGGGGAAGCTGGGAGGGACCCAAGGGCTACCAGGAAGAGCAGGGGCCATGGGTGCCAGGAGGACGGGGGTCCCTGCCGGTGGGCGTCTGGGAGATCAGACCAACGGGACCAGGGACAGGCTGCCGCCCACGGTCTCCGCTGCCATCAGGCCCGTCTGCGCCGACCCACGGGACCCACCAGGATGTAGAGTGCGCCCTCCGAGCTCTTCTCATACTCCTTGATGGTGGAGAACACAGACAGCACGAGGCAGGAGAAGACCAGCAGGAACCTGGGGGCCGGAGCAGAAGGCGGTCAGCCAGGCCGGGCAGCCAGCCGGCGCGGAAGGCACAGGGCAGGGCAGGGGCACGCGGCAGCCCAGGGCTCCACGGTGATGCCTGGGCCCAGCTGCTCTGCAGGACGCCCACCACACTCCCCCCGCCGCCCCCACCAACGTCCCTCGCCAACGTCCAACGTCCCTCTCAGAGGAACCACAAACGGGGGACACTGCCTTCTGGGCCGCTGGGCAAACAAGAAATGAGTGAACCGCACAGCCCGTGCCCACGCAGGGCACCCCATACGCAGTCACCCCTCTCCTCATCCACAGCTGTTTCCTCACGAGGCCCCAAAGTAGACACTTCCTGTCTCCCGGCTCACACCAGCCTCACACACACCGTCCCAGCGCCCTTGGCCGCCGGACCTGTGTCTGCAGGCGGTGCTGGCGGGGGCACTAACGGAGCCGGGAGCCGATGGGCAGCAGGTGTCCAGCCAGAGCGGACAGGGCGGGGCTGGGGTCCCAGGGAGCAGAGCCCCTGAGGGCTGAGGTCAGCGTCCAGGCCTCCTGAGGCACAGAGCACCTGGTACGGGAAGCTGGGCAGGGACCCCACACCACGCCCCTCCCACTTCATCACCACTGGGACACCCCATCACCCCAGAGTGTCGAGACCACCATCCACCGTGGTAGTGGTGGAGGAGGGGAGATGAGACCCTTCAGAGCCAAAGCCGCGTGGTCCAACCTCAGCCGGGCCACAGCGACAGTGACTCAGGCCCTACCCCGCCCAGCCCAGCCTGCATCACTGAGCGGCGGCCCCGCCCATGTGCCCCAGAGGCCTGACAACCAGGCCCAGAGAGGCGCAGACCCGCCTCCACATGCAGCCCCTCCCCAGAGCGTGGCCCCGAGGATGTCTCTGGATGCGCCCCCAGCTCCAGGGCAGAGGCGCTACGGGCAGATAACAGAGGCCGCTGGCACAGACAAAACGCACGCGGGGAAACGGTCACGTTTCAAAACCTCAATTAATTTCCTTTGCTCATTAGCCAATTTATTCAATTAGCTGAGCCCTGGGGAAAAAAATGTCCAGATGTCTCATGTGCCTTATACTCGTAATTCTCTGCCTGCGGTGGGAAGGAGCCCACGTGCCCAGAGAGGATCTGCCAGGGTCAGAGGAGATCCCAGGGTGGTGAGTCAGGACCCCGGGGCCTGGGCGGTGGGAGAGACTGGCAGGATCCCCAGCTCAGCTCAGCACTGGGCGCGGGAGTCGGGGGGACGCATAGCATGGTGGGCTTCCCTGTGGAGGTGTTCACAACGCTGCAGGATGAAGTGCTGGTGGGGCCAACAGGGAAGGGAAAGTGTTCCTTGGCAGAGGGAAGGGCAAGTGGACTGGCGCCAGGAGGGGGTCGGGGGGGAGGGGGAGACAGTGTGTCCAGGACCCGGCAGCGGGCAAGTCTGACCAGACTGGAGATCGGGGCCCCGGGATGCCTGACGCCATCGTCACCTATCAGGGAGACTGAGTCCAGGGCTGCGCCCACGCAGGGCAGCTCCTCGTGCTTTATAAAAACATTCCTCTAAAGAAAAACAGGAAAGACCCAGGTCCCAAGGTGACCAGGCCCTCTCAGCCCCGCCTCCCCAGGGCGCTCTGACCAGCATCTCGGAAACTTCCAGAATGGCCAGGGTACGCTGCACAAAGCGCAGCCCTTCCCAGCAGGCAGCTGCCAGGCTGTCGGGAGCCCCACCAGCAGCTCAGGAGCCAAAGCTGCGGCCCAAGCGCCAGTGACATTCCAAGTTTTGTTTTTGATGTGTTGGGACAGATGGTCGCAGGTGACACCGCCTGGGGCGCGCAGGGGGTGCAGCAGGATGGACGCTCCAGAGAGAGGCCAGCACACCCACACGACAAGGAGGAAGGAGAGGCAGCAGCAGACTCCCACGCGCAGCGGGCACCCCAGCCACGCCTCCAGGTGCAGGCAGGGCCCCCGCAGATCAAGAAAGGGACAACTCCAAATGGCAGTGGTGCCCCCCCCCCGGCCACTCACAGGTAGCCACGATGGGGAAAAGGCACTTACTTCCAGGTCCCCTCCTGTCTGCGAGTAACCCTGTGACCGGCGACCACCCCTGCCCAGCACACAGCCGCATCCTGGGCCCGGAGACGTCCGAAGCCCACGCCCATCCAGCGAGGCTGAAAGGGGCTCCGCCTCTGGCCTCGTGGTCCCAGGCACAGCATCCTCCATTACAGGGGACACTTCCCTGAGGCCCAGCCCCCGGGGAGCCAGGGGGTGGGGGGGCCAGCCCTCCCGCAGGACGACGCAGGTGATCACCCCCAGCCCTGAGGCCCATCGCAGGGCCGCCCGCTGCCGTTATGCTGGGGCCCTGGGCATCAGAGCATCCTGGAGACCCTGGGGAGTCTGAGCCAGGCGGGGGCCTTCCTTCCCAAAGACCCCTCTTGCCTCGGTGACCCGGGTTCTGGCTCCTGGCAGGCTCATGGGAGCTGCCAGCTGTGGCTCTAAGGGACTCCCCTTCTCCCCTCTCCTCCTCTGGAGAGGCATTGGGGAGGTGCAGGGTGGACGCCGCCGCCACTGGGAGGCCCCGGGAGGCAAGCTGTGTGCTTAGCACCGACCCCCAGGCCCCAGAGGACGTGGTGGCTAGTAGCTGGGTCCGCTTCCTCCCCAGATGGGATCGGTGAGCAGTTCTACCCGCCCACAGGCTGGGAGACCCGTCCCCCTGCTGCAAGGTTCAGCTCAACGGCCAGCACCATCCTGTACATCTCCCCAGCACCGGGACCGAGGCCCCAGGGCCCTGGGGGAGGGGAGTTCTCATGCCCTCCAGCCTGGGAACTGTCCAGGCTGCAGGAAAAGAAAGGAGGGGAGGCAGGAGGTGGCTGCAAAGGCAGAACATGGCGGCTGATTATGATAATGAATTCATCGCCAGGATGCTTCCCTGGCAGCGGTTGCCAAGGAGACGAGCAGCCCAAGCAGCTGGTCCCCAGCCCCCGATTCCAGGGGCTGTGATGGGGGCAGGCGGAGCGGCAGGCCAGCCAGGGGCCTCAGACCTTGCTCACCTGGGCGGGGGGGGTAGGCCATCTGGAGAGTGAGCACCAGGGCAGCCGCATCCCAGACGCACAGCCAGGCCTGCGCCGCCCAGTTCACGAGTGGCCACGAGGTGGGGCGGGCCCCAGCACTGCAGGACCCACAGCAGCAGGAGAGACCTCAGCCAGACATCAGGAGGGACTTCCACAGCCTGAGCTCTGGGCAGAGATGGACCCCTCTTTTGAAACAGGTGGAGGCACGGCAGGGTCCTCAGTGTAGGGATTCTGACGCATGGAGAGACAGGCAGGGCAGGCGGGAGGGACTGAGGGTGGTGGAGCCTTGGGCATCGGCCAGGGGAGCCCCCCAGTCAAGGCCTGACAGCACCCCTCGAGGCGGTCAGCCCACCCACAGCCGTGCCGCAGGTCCTGGGTGCACACGTGTGCGTTCTGCCTGCCCTGCACTCTCGGGAGGGGGCGGCCGCCACCCCCAGAGGGAGACCCCACTGCTTTCGGCTCTCCCCTCCCACGCCCTCCCCCCATCTGACTGCAGGGAATATTTCTTTTCCGGAAAACGTGACAAGGTCTCTGCCACCTCATTCCCACGTCTGGTTCCCACTGTTGGGAGGGCACGGGGCGGGGGGTCACGGTGCTGGCCCACAGCCCAGACTCCCCGCCCCCTTCAAGGACTAAGCTGGGCGATGACTGGGATTATTCACCCCATTCCACATGTTCAGTGAGATACACCTTTCATACGCGAACGGCAGGGAGTCACGCTACCAGCACCCCACTTGCTCACCCCCAGCCCCTGGCTGGCAGAGCTGGGAGAGAAGGATGGGGAGGGGCCCCTGACATCAAGCACCACCCCCCAGGCTCCAATTCAGCTATGCACCAGGCAGGCGACAGCCCAGCAGATTGGAAGAAGGTGCTCATCCGTTTTACAGATGAGAAAACGGAGGCTGTGATGCAGCTCACCGCGGCCACGCGGGGCCGAGCCTGAGCACCCTTCCACTGGCAGGGTCTCCCCAGGATAACGTCCATCCCGATAAGGCCGGGTGGCCTGGGAGCCCAGGAGGGGACGGGGGCGGAGCCGCCAGCGTGAGGTCCAAGCTCCCACACCGGGTCCCCGGGGAACCTCCCGCTGCCTCGTCCATCAGGACTGCAGTTGGCGCTGCAGCCCGGAATCTAATTTCACCCTTAATGAACTGCTCTGCCTCCAGTACCTGGGGCCACTGCCAGTCTCTGGGCGACAGGAAGCCTGGACTCCTGATGGCTGCTCCGGGCGCAAACAAGCCAGACGCGAGGAATCGCTCTGAGATCCCGCCGCGGCCCGAGGGAGTGGGAGGCCGTGTGCAGACCCTACCCTGGAAACGAGCCCCGCCCACAGGGCCGCCCACCCAGGCCCACTGCAGTCCCGCCAGGCCCCCCGTACACGGCAAGTAAGTGCTCAGTAAACGCCTCAGACCTGACAGGCCCCAACCCAGGAAGTCCCAGACCCTGGGAAGGTCCAGCTCCGGCCTTGGCATTTGAGGCCTCCCTTGAATTAAATTAAATTGAATAATTGCACATTCTGTGGATTTCACATCAATTAAAGAAAAAAACAGAAACAGGCCAGGTTGTCAGGGACTGAAGCAGAGGGTAAGGCCCATCCGCCCGTCTGTGCCCAGGCAAGCCCTCCCCACCCGTGCCTCAGCTCCCCTCTGCGCCCTCCCCACCCGTGCC